TGTTCTGGAGAGCGCGATGGAGTCGGTGGCGGCGGCGGAGGCGGCGGCGGCGGCGGCGGCGGCGGCGGAGGCGGAGGTGGCGGCGGCGGAGGCGGTGGTGGAGGTGGCGGCGGCGGAGGTGGCGGCGGCGGAGGCGAGAGCGAGGGTTGCAGGCGAAGCAAGGCTTGCGGCGAGGGCGGCGAGGGCGGCGAGGGCGGCGGCGGCGACGACGGCTATGGCTGTGGAGGACACGGCTTCAGGTGGGTAGGGAGGAAGACAAGGGTCTCTCTTGGACGAAACGAGGGTAATACTTATGGTAGGTGTTTTTTTTGTCGGAGGAGTCGGCGTGTTTCGCTGATTTTTCTCCGGCTACCGTGAGAGCGCTTGCACAAGCTTGTCGTGCCTCTGGTGGACGCCGTCCATCCCGATACGTACCCTTAAGCCCCCCACCCCAAGGATAATGACGCTATCAGCTTCTGGTTTATCCTTGTGAACATTAGCCTGGACCGGCAAAAACCCGGCATATCGCTCCGTCCCGGCATTGTAGGGATGGGAGGTCCAATGACTTCGACAAGTGTTTACAATGGGTACAACCCCCCCCACCCCCTGCTTTCTATTCCTGTCACGCGCCCTGTTGAGTTTTCCTAACCCCGATAACCCCTCCGACCGACGGCACTCTTGCACTTTTTCTCACGACAGTCTCCGAAGGAGAAGCGGTTGCCGCCCTGGCCTCCTCGTTGTCGTTGTCCCCCCGCCGCGAGCCGGCCGGGGAAACGGCAACGACTCCGGCGGTGACGGCAGCAGGTAGCGACGCCGGAGCCCCGCCCACCGCCGGTTCACTGGAGACTCGGGGGGCGGCGGAGGAGGGCGGCAACGACGGCGCCGCCGGCGCTGGCTTTGCCCTCCTGCTCCAACAGGCAGACCTTGCGGCGATGCGGCGGGAGAACCGCGGGGAGTCGGGTAGGGCCGGCGAAGGTGGTGTCGCCCCCGCCGCTGCTGCGGTGGCGACGACGACGGCGACCGGTGCTGGTGCTGCTACTACTGCTACCGGCACGGGAGACGGGGCCGCCGTGCGGGACGAAGAGTCACCGGAGGCAGCACCTCGAGGTGCCGAAGAAGCCGCCGGCGCCGGCGCGGACCGTGTTGACGATGCCATGGACGTGGA